CATCCCATGGAAGAGGAGTGCTGGCCTGGCTGGGGAGGAGGGGAACCACACCTGGGGTCCCTGTCCCTTCCCACCCCAACATCTCCAAGTGTTTAGAATTTAATTTTTATGGTTCTGATCTCCCGTACCAAGTAGTTCATAGAAAGGCATCTTGGGAGGGTGTGTGTGGCCGCCTCTTTTTTCCTTTTTGTGTGTATGTCACTTATCTGACAACTCTCCCTCCTCCCCATGGCCTTCCCCCATTCCTCCTATTCCTATAATACAAACAATAAAGACATTCATTCCCGGGGGTGGTGGGAACACACAGGAGAAGCAAACTATCCAGGAACAGGCCCACGGGCACCACAGAAGCTGGTGTGTGAGCCCTTCAAGGCAGACGGCCCAGCCCGCCACCCCTGGGGGGGGGGGGGGAGAGCATGTGACCCCAAATATTTAAAATTTAAAAGTTTTGGGCGTGCTGAACATCAACACTTGAACCCAATGGGAAACCTAGCTCTGTGGAATAACTGGTTCCCTGTGGGTTCTGTGTGTCAAAACCTTTTGCTGAAATACTGTCTTTGGAGTCAACGTGCACACAGAACGTCGAAGCCCCTGGTGTCTTGACACAGAGGTGTCTCCCACTGGGGTTCACACCATGGGGTCCTGCCCCCACAGCCGCACCATCCTTTGGACGCAATTCCCTGTCCTGCTCAACTGGCCCCGGTCAGTTTTGCTCCTCCGTTTTCTTTGATGGTGCTGGTGATGATGACGGTGATGGGTCGCCCACGAAGTACTTAACTAGATGCCAGGCATTGTCTACGTGTTAAAACGCGGCTGCTTCCTTAATCCTCGGAACAAGGCAGGGACGGCTTAGGACGTCAGTGGTTAGGGAGGAAGACACTTGCCCGAGGCCACACAGGTGCCAAACAGACCGGGACCACAATGCAGGCGGAGGGCGGGCGCCAGCAGCCTCATGCCTCCTTTCCCACTTTCCCTGTCCTCCCTGGTGACAGGCTTTCCAGAAAGGCCCACGCGTTTCACCCACACTGGGCATCTCGGAGCCCAAGCTCTGGGCTGGGCGCTGTGTCCCCTCGCCCAGCTGCCTTGGGAGTGACCAGCCCCCTGTCCGACCTCCCCTCTGGGCTGCACGCTCCCTGTCCCCTCCAGGAACGTAGTTCGCACCTTTCTCTTCCTCTCGCGTCCTGAAGGTTCAGAAAAGGGGGGACACGAGCCTGAGGGCCCA